CAACTTTTGCATTCCAGTCACCAGTGATAATCAACACATCTTGATTGCATGTTCAGTCAATTTCAGACTGCAGAAGTTGATAAAAATCTTCAGTTTCCTCATCTTTGGCTTTGGTGGTTTGTGCGTAAATTGGAAAATAGTAATATTAACGGGTCTTCCTTGTAGATGTATGGATATTATCCAATCATTGACAGCATTGTACTTTGGGACAGATCTTGAAGCATCCTTTGTGATGATGAATGCCATGCCATTCCTTTTCAATTTGTCATTCCTGGCATAGAAGATCATATGGTTGTCTGATTCAAAATGGCCAAAACCATCCATTTCAGGCATTAGTGAATGCCTATGATATCAATCTTTATGCATTCTATTTCATTTTTGACAACTTCCAATTTTCCTAGATTCATACTTTGTATATACCATGTTCTAATTATTAATGGATATTTGTAGCTGTTTCTCCTAATTTGAGTTGTGCCATGTCTGCACATGGAGGTCCTACAAGACTTACTTTATCCATTATCATTAAGGTTGGTTCTACTCTGATGAGGCAGCTCTTTTCCAGTCCTATTTTTAGTGCCTTCCAACCCATGGGACTGGTCTTCCTGAACTGTGTTGGACAGTGTTTCCAAGCTATTCATAAAGTTGCCCAGTAGTGTATCAGACAGTGTTTCTCTGGTATTTATAAGTTTTTCCCTGGTCAGTTTTTGAGAAGTGGATGGCCTTCTCCTTCTTCCTAGTCTGCCTCAGTCTGTAAGCTGTGTTGAAACCTGTGCACCATGTGCAACCCTGCTGGTTTCTGAAACACCAGTGGCACAGCCTCAAGGATCACAGCAACATGAAAGCCCCACAGGATGACAAACTGACAGGCAAGTTTGTCTCCCTTTGCTGTTGGAAATCTCTGCGCTCTCCCCTTTCTTAATTCCTACCTGGAACCTGACACTTTGTGGCGGCTCCCTCCCTTTCCTGGCTCTAGGGGTCTGGGGCCTGCCTGGTCCTTCCCCTTACCTGGATCCTGCTGCTCCTGTGGTCCCTGGCCGCTCCCTCCCTTTCCTGACTCTAGGGGGCTGGGGCCTTGCCTGCCTCCCATCCCTTACCTGGAATCTGCCACTCCTGTGGTCCCTGGCCACTCTCTCTGGCACATAGTAAAGGCTCAATCCTTATTTGTTGAATGATGCACAGAAGGAGAGAGGATAATTGATGGGGCAAGATTCAGAAGTAGAAGTTGGCAAATTTTTTCTGTAAAGGGCCAGAGGGTAACTATTTTGGATTGTGCTGACTATAAATTGTCTCTGTCATATATTCTTCTTTTTTTCCTAATAATCTTTTAAAAATGTAAAAGCCATTCTTACATCACAGGCCTTATTAATACAAGCTCTGTGAGAAAAAGTCAAGGAAACAGAATCTAGATCACAGGTGAAGATGTGAGCTCTGGAAAACAATTTGTCCTCTGATAATAAAGGGAAAATGAGAAAGCAGATGAAATATGTGGTGAAACTTCAAAGTAAAGAACAGAGAAGCGAGTGAGTTCATGTTAGTGGAATCAGCATCCTCAGTGGGTATTAGCACTTGTAGAGTGGAACGTTTTTGAAAGAACAGGGTAGCTAATTAAATAGAGATGAACAGGAAAATTGGTAAGCACCCTGGAATGCAGCCAAAGTTGAATAACATCAGTCTATAGTGTGTACTGGAAGAAAGAGAAAATTGGAAAGGTAGAGCCCAAGAATTATCACTTGTGACGCTTGACAGGGAAGCTGTACAAAATTCCAAAGTTGGTTGGCCTGGCATCTTGTTTAGAATCATGCTGGTTTTCCCTCCTTCTCTTGATAAAATTACTTCTAGAAACAATGAAGAAATATGTGCTAATTGGTGAAAATAATATCAACAGTTAACATTTATTAAGGACCTACTATGTGCAGATACTGAAGTACCATGAACTGCCAGAAGAACAAACAAATCTGTCCTGAAAGAAGTGCAGCCAGAATGCTTCTTGGAAGCTAGAATGGCCAGACTTCGTCTCACCTTCTTCAGTCATGTAGTCAGAAGGCACCATTCCCTGGAGAAGGAGATCATGCTTGGTAAAATGGAGAGTCAGCAAAAAAGGGGAGGACCCTCAATAAGATGGACTGATACAGTGGCTGCAGTGATGGGCTCAAGTATAACAAGGATTGTGAGGCTGGCACACAGCTGGGCAGTTTTGCTCTGTGCTACGTAGGGTCACCATGAGTTGGAGCTGATTTCATGGCACCTAACAGCAACATGTGCAAGTGGCTAAGTGCTCAACTATAACTGAAAGTTTGATCATTCATATCCACCCAGAGAGGCCTTGGAATAAAGGCCTGGCAATCTGCTTCTGGAAGTTCACAGCCTTGAAAACTCCTGGGAGTGCAGTTCTGTTCTAAGACACATGAGCTCTCCATGAGTTGGAATCAACTGAAAGATAACTAGGTTGGTTTTCTGGTTTTATATGCTGAGCTACATCCATTGTCTTATTTAATCATAGTATCTAGGTTCTATTACTATCATTCATTTACAGATGAGGAAACTAATCTTAGAGAAGTTAAGAAATTTACCCAGAAGCACACAAACCTGTTAAGTGTCAGAGCCAGATGAACTCAACCAAGTCTGTCTAGTACCTGGTCCACGTTTTACTCTATCTCAATAGGGTGCTGATTAATGAATTGATATCAACATGGAAGGAAGTCTCTGTATGGACAAGTCCTGTCCTCATCTATTCTGGTTACCTAGTGCTTCTCTGACTGGAAATATACCACAAATGGGATGGCCTTAACCAACAGGAGTTTATTCTCTTACAGTTTGGAGGCTTTAAGTCCAAGTTCAAAGTGCCATGCTCTAAGACCTGAGTGAAAGCCCCTCAGCCTTGGGCTTCAGCTCTGCCTCCAGCTCCTGGCTCATTGAAGCTAGAGGCTTTTTTTCACTCAGACAGCTGCTGGCTGCTGAGGCTGCCAAGCCCAAGGTTGACAAGTGAAAAGCACAGTCCCAGATGTTACCAAACCACACAGCAGGCTATTAATTCAAGGCCATTGTAAGTCCCAAGGTCAGCAGAGCATGGCAGGCTGTGAACAACAACATGGCTACATGCAGAGTCCAAGGTGCCATGAGCTAGAGACCATTCCCAAAGCTGCTGCTTATATACAGGAAGCAGACAACATCCCAAAGGCTGCTTGTGGTAGATCCCACCATGGAGTTGATTGCCAGTCTCATCATGGGGAATAACTATATCCAGCTTCCCAGCCACTCAACCAGGCCCAGCCAAGTTGATGCACAAACATAACAACAACATCATCCGTCTCTTGTTCAATATTTTTGTAATTCTTTAGATGAAGGTATAGATAGTATACTTACTGAATTTTCCAGTGATATGGAACCAAGAAGAATAGAGAATACATTAGCATACAGAATGAGGATCTAGGATCATCTCAAATTGAAATGGTTCATTCAAGAAGAACTATAAAAGAGATGAGAATATAATCCTTTACTTAAGTCCAGAAACAACTGCACAAATGCAGTGTCTCAACTATGGGTGTGGAAGGAAGAAAAATACTTACAGATTTTAGTCATCTCACTTTAAGGAATGTAGTGAATTGCAGTTTGTCAAGAGGGACATAGAATAGGGAAGCTCTTTAAGTCTACTTCATCCGAGGAACAATTTAAGAAACTCAAATTCATAGAGCAAAACTGGTAGTGATGGAGTAGGGCGAGAGGGGGCAGTGGGAGTGAGCAGGGTCTTCAAGTGTTTCTGAGAGTTTTCATACAAAAGATAAATGACATGTTCTCTCAGACCTTTGTGGTCAGAACTAGGAATAATAAGTAGGAATAACAGAGATCCAGACTTTCACGCCGTATGAGAATAAGTTACCCCAAATTAGACCTGTTCAAAATTGTCAGCATTTTTATAATGCTTTATATGAGGGTGTGGATAATGTACTTACCACATTTTCCAGTGATGTGGAGCCAGGAAGGATAGAGACTACATTAGAATACAGAAAGGAATCTAGGATTATCTCAAGTTGGAATGGTTCAATCAAGAAGAAATGGGTCCACGGTTGCTGGAAGTGTTTTAAACTGAAACTGAGCATTTTCTATGACTTGCTCTAAATGACCTCTGAAGTCCCTGCCAAAGAGTTTTTGCCTCTGAAGATGTCAGATGAATAAAGCATTTCTATATATTTTTCTAAAAAGTAAACTTCTCAGCTTTCTTCTGTACTCTTTGCAGCCTGATTTAGTACAGTGTTAGGAATCTGATGGTGTATATTAACAGAACTTCTGTTTTGAAGCTAAGCTGTACCAATTCTGATTTTTCACTCAGAATATGACAAGATGTTTTATTTAGCATACCTAGTTAGGCCTTGAGTATTTCTTTGAAAAGGATGTGTATTTTACTTGTATATGATTCTTGCCAAAGATTATACTGAAATTGTACCATATTTCTGCCAATATTTTTCTTGAACTACGTTCCATGATGAAGTTTTTTGTAATAAACTTTTGTATACAAGAAATTGCCTTGAAAAAGCTTTTAAGTTGGATTGGATTCTAATAAACAGGATGAAACTGTGAATAATCTATTGACTTTCTGAAACTATTATACTATTCTCTGAGATAGTTAAAAAAAAAAAACTTTGTTCTGTAATCTGCCTGTTATATTTTTGTACTGTTTTTTAGACATATTCAAAGTTTTTAATTTTTCAACATACCAACAGAAAGTTAATTGGATACAAAAACAAAAAAAAAACAAACTCATTGCCTTCGAGTTGGTCTGGTTAGCAGTCAAATGCCTTAGGCACTACGCCACCAGAGCTCCCAGTTAATTGGATGCATGTTGAAAACTTCAAGTTTGCTTTTCAAAAAAATGTTTGAAAACATCTCATTATCACTGATGTTGAAGCAAAAACTAGGAAACCTTTCTATTTTTGGTTTTAGTCTTTCCAAGTTTACTTTATTCAGTGTACCACTTACTGAAAAGAAACACTTTTTTTTTTTAGGTGTAATCCCTTTTCACGGATTTTCAATGTATGGTAAGTTGAGCTTAAAATATTAGTTGTCTTCATCACACTTGAGAAAATTAAACAACTCTGATCACAGCTTTATATCGCATCATCATCCACACACTTAACAAGTGACTGTCAATTTTTCAAACGTTTAGTATTTATTCATCTAATTAAAAAATTAAATCGATGATAAGAAAAACAATAAAATAAAAAGAGGTCATCTTAATTCCTCGTATAATGATGACTTGGCAAGTTAGAGTTACAACATAATGTGAAAGTGGTTGTGTGCTTTACCATTTTCTAATCCAGTGGCAACTAGATACACATTAATATTTAGTTCTAATTGGTATAAAATGAGTCTGTGTAAATTCTTAAACTAATTCTCCTAAGAGTCTGTAAAATGTGAAAGGTAATAAGTCAGAAAGAATCAAGGACAGCACTGACTCTGAGCTCAGGATATGTCCGGCTACTGGTGGTTGCTGTTGTTGTTTGCCATTGAGTCGGACCCAACTCATAGCAACCCCTCCTTGGGTTTCCGAGGCAGTATCACTACGGAAGTAGATTGCCCAATCTTCCACTGGTAGGCTCAGTAACAATCACACTGCAGCTCACAGTCATCCTGATAACACGTGCAGCATTGAGAGCCATCCATACCATTCTGGCCTCGTGTGCCATTGCATGAGGAATGTAGGAAGCTCAGTGAAGACCGACAAGAGGAAGAATGCCCTGTGCCTAAGTGCCACTTATTTTTGAATTTTCATGTATTATGTATGAACTTGTTGAAGATTATCCCCTTATTTCTACCCTCTACCTTTAGAATAAATGGAAATGCTTTCATATTTTACTTTGTGACAAACAGCAGCAATGAATTAACACTTTTCTTTGTCAGATAATCATAGTGAATGACAATAACCAAAAAAAAAAAAAGAACATTACCCTTGAATCAGATCTGACTCATAGCAACCCTTCCTTGGGTTTCCGAGGCAGTATCACTACGGAAGTAGATTGCCCAGTCCTCCTTCCCAGGAGTGGCTGGTGGTTCCTTCTGTTTAGCGCTCAAGTCCCTTAGGGACTACACCACCAGAGCTCCCAGTGGTGAATGACAGTATAAAACTGAAAACTAGCACATAGTGAGGAGCTCTGGTAGCATAGTGCCTAAGGCACTTGACTGCTAACCAAAAGGCTGGTGGTTCAAATCC